TTTTTTTTTTTTTCTCACTCCTCGAAAGGAACAGTGTGGATAATTGTGGAATACCGCTCCATCAGGGACGGATTGTTCTTGCTTCGCACCGTAAAATTCACTCTAACGTTCCTGCCAGGGAAGTTACCGGGTCTCGCCTTTTTCCGGTAAGGTCATTCCGGTAGGAAAGTTCGCCTTATATTGCCATTATAATTAACCCAGATTTTCCCCGGATTTATGGTGAACGGCGTACGAGTCAGAGCCGTGCTCGACACATTGTAGTGCCTCGTCCACTTCGTTGTTTCTTTCGGTCGTTTTTAAACCGAAAAAAAAAAACGCTGTTCTTTTTGGTTAATAAAATGCACATAATATTAGTCAGTTAAGGAAATGAAAAAGAGAAGACTCAGGATCTAAAGTCGTACCTAAAGTCGAGGATTGATAGTTGATCTTTTCAATTTTGGAACGTTAAGTAAGAATTATTGCCGTAAAATCACACTCTGTTGTTTCTTTCCTTTTTAAATCGAGGAAGAAGTATAATTTTCGTTGATTATCAAAGAACTAGGAAATTAAGCAAAGAAAGAGTCGAATTTGAAATTCAGAGTCTAAGATTGACAGAAAATTTGTTTTTCTGAGTTTTAAAACTCTAAACAGAAGTTATTAAATAATTAAAGATTGTCAAAGGGAATTAAAGAGCAAAAGAATAAGAAGAAATTTAAATTTAGTGTTTACGATTAATAGAAAATTCATTTCTGTCACTAAATAAAAATGATCAGCGAATTAGAGAGTAAAAAAATAATCAATTATGAAATGAAAAAAAGAAAACAAATTTAAATTTAAAATTTAACAGAAAATTTACCTCTCACGAATTTTAAAGTATTAAACCAATTGTGGATTCAGAAGCTAATTAAAGAGTTAAAAACAAAAAGAACGAGAAAGTAAAAAATGTTTTTAATGGCAATTTAAATTCAGAATTTATCAATGATTGATGAAAAATGTATTTTTACTAGTTTTAGAATTTTAAACAAATTGCAATTATATGAATTAGAGAACAAAAGGTAAAGATTTAAGGGATGAAAGAAATTTATCAGAAATGAATCAGAAGAAAAACAGAAATTTAAATTTATAATTTATGATTGACGAAAAATTCATTTTATCTCTATACTGGATAAAAACTGTGGCAATTAAACTACGAGTTAAAAACTAAAAAATATGTCGTCAGGAAATGAAAAAAAAAAATTTTAATCCGCAATCTATCTTAAATTTAAAATCTGTAATTGTCAGAAAATCTATATTTCCACAATATTTTCAGAGCAAAAAAAAAAAAAAAACAAGCTGCAAGCTAATGATATTCCTCCGATTATTAATAAAAGCGATCGGATTATTATAGAATCATAGCGGAGTGTCGGTTAGTAATAGCGAGCTGTTAATAAGATTAATTTGTGTTCTCGAGCAATTACCAACGAACGCGTGCATTGATGGATTACATTTGGCGAACGATGCAAACAGGGGAATCGTCCGTGAATATTTTAAGCACCATCCAAGTTGATAATTCTGATCAGCCTTCGACCGCGTTTAAAATGAAAAATCTTAATAATTATTTATGGCTGAATAAGTAATAGCTTTTGATTCTCGTTGATGATCGTAAACCATCGAAAGAAAGATTTACGATCGATGAGTTGAAGAACAGTACATGTCCAGAAATCACATTTTAAAATACTTGGGAAGGTAGCTTTAATTTTTAATGTTAGCATCATTGTTTTATTATTTTTATAGTTGTTTATATTTTTATAGTATGGTTTATAAGAGGGCTAGAAGATGGCGTATCGACTTTTTTTGTATTTGAAGGAGTTCCGAAATTTTCAATTTGTTCTTTTTTTAAATGGAATGATATATCTTTCTTTGATGAAGAATGATATATTCTTGATGATATATATTATTTCTGTAGACGAAAGAAAAAAAAAATCATGATATTAAGGATTAAATAAGAAAATATAATGGTTCTTAATAGCACTATAATACTAATTAACAGTTAAAAATAATAATCTTTTCTTTCAAGTTTTGTATAGTATTTTATAGTGAAATAAAGAATTTTCTGAAGAAAAATAACAAACTCATGATACTATGGATTAAATTGGACATTTCAAAATTAATTGACTTAACGTTAAATTCTAATGGTATTCTACAGGATAATGACACTATTATCGATTAAACTGAAAATTTCAAAATTTTAGGTCCAAAAACGGTCCAATGATAAGTTGAAACTTACAAATAATTCCTTCAAATTACATACCTCGAGAATATCGACCAAATTTTCTAACAAAGCAATTAATTTCGTTTTGATCGTTGCAACGATTGTAAGGTGTGCTCTCGTTCAGGAAAAACATTCGCATTTAACACGAACGGGTATTCAGGAAGCGAGAATGTCGGAGGGCTGCACGAGTTGCAGGGGTGCGAATTATGCAGGCACCACGCTGCAGTTAAGCTCGGCTTCCGGTGGCGGGACCGGAAGCAGCTCCTCTGCGTCTGGAAGCTCTTGCACATCCACCAGAAGAGTACAGGTACGCGCGAAAGTGCTGTACGGTTCTGGCAAGGCGATCGCCAGCTTGCAAGCACAAGAGAAAGCTGCCAGGCACTGATAAGGTACGTATCGCTTAATTAATATAATTAACATGATCAGTGTAAACTAATCAGTGTAAGTCACCTTTTGTTTATTAGAAATCATGTGTTTGAATGATATTAACTGAATTATTATCAAATCGCGGATTTTATGCAAATTCGTATCTTTTGAAGGAAGCTATATACTATAGAAAACTGTTTTACCTACGACATGTTATAGAAATAACTTTCAATTTTATTTTTTCATTACAATTGTTACGCAGTTTCGCGTTTTAAATGCATAAAAATCTAAAAGTCTAGTCATTGTAATAATTATTGATACATAACTGATTCAGTTTCGTGGACTGAAGATATTGATAAGAAAAATTGCAAGTCGCTTTTAATGAAACATGACTAATTATTAAGTCAATACAGCTGTGTTAACTGAATTATTAATTACACAATTAACTGCTTTAATTATTGCATTTTAATTAACTGCAATACAGTTAAATTATACTTTGTCTCAATTTCACAACAATTTACGTCATTACATTGCAATTGAATTATACATAATATAAACTACATTGTTAATACAATGCAATAAAGACACCAAAATTACATTCTACTTCAATTACAT